ATATATTTATTTATATATTCGCGCACAAATAATATAGAGATGGCACAGTGACACATTTCTATTTCATTCCTTATATTAGATCTGGTGACTATAGGCGCTCTAACTTCTAGCTGCGTTCACTCGGCGTAACCAAGACAACCGCGTCGACCATGGCCAACGTCTACACGCGTCAGTTCCGGCGACCGCGTACGACGACGTTACGCGACTTCGGGGCGAAGCCGTCGCCGCCGACGACGGAGATGACGACGCTGAGAGTGCTGTCGCCTACACGCCGCTGTAACCCGCAGCCGATGGGCCTGGTCTATCAGAGTCCGTACAACAGGGAGGGGAAGGTGCGCTGGTCGGGGAAAACCCGCAATATGCGTGCAACCGCAATATATCATATTATGCATGCGCTTCTGGGGGTATTGACGTGGGATATGTTCGCATTTAATCAAATTTTGTTGTAATATCTATGCTTAGGCCGGGAAAGGCTTTGATTGGATCTATTATTTGTTTTTGTTTGCCTTTTGTAATAAGAGATGATGAAAAATTCGTCATATATCAATACATATTAAACATATTTTGGCGCTTTACAGACGTTTGAAATCTGGCATCCTGACTTTTCAAAGATTTATAGACGGTTTCCATCGATGCTAAAGCATTTGGGTTCGTATATATTATGATGGTGATGACGCGACTGATAGAGATTGGACTCTACGATGAAACACGCACGGCGTTACTCAGGAGTATTTTCAGCCAATTCCCATTGTGATCGATTCATTCATTACTCTATAATAAATTAATAACTGCACTAAAATTAACTCACATACGCTGATAAGTTCATTAAGGGGTATAACACAGTCGACATGCAATGTTGGCAAGGAACAGGTTTCACGAGACACGATGAAATTTATATAGAGAGCAGATGGCAATCAATGTAGAAGACATGTAGCAAAGCGTTAACAATTAGCATTAAGGCGAAGCATTAAAAGCTACTCGCGTAATTAAAGCGTATTTTCGCGTAAATGGTTGTTCTGTTGACAGATATGACAAACTTCACTTCTGGACCCGCACATCAGTTTCTAAAGCGGAATGGTAATGGACTTGAGTTATTTAATTAATTAATTACGGCATTCAACTCAGTATCTGGCAGAATCTCACTGTTTGTACTGATTCATGCATGATTTGACATGGTGCGTCCACCCAGTAATCTTTAACAGGCGCCGGCCAGTATCATTTAGACTTTTGCTTTTGCTTAGACCAATTGCTTGGTTTCTGTGGGGCATTGCTATCCCATCCCGACTCCTCATCGACAAAATGAGATCGAAAAATTATTGGTTGATTGGGTGGTTTAACGTCTGGGAGTGAGAGCGGTGGCGTAGTGCTGAGGAGGACAACCGCTGTTGTCCATGGTTGATCGGAGATAGATCTTTATTCTAAATTGTATTGTCTAATTCGTTCCAAGCCCAACGTCCTAAACATCACTACGCCCTCGCTGCGGTACGGTGTATAACCACCAGGTGGCTGGCCCTCGTGTTCGTAGCGCAATATGTGTATAATAAGTGGTTTCTTTGACTGGCGGGGTTCCACTAGAAGCACTTTCCTCGTGCAAACTGCCAGTATACACATTTAACGTGAGGCGTCGACGGGATGAGCTTCTATTGCAGTTGGCGGTAACCCGGAAGTCCTGTACAGCTCCGAATGCACGTACCGGGATAACTTCCGGAACCCGGCATCGCTGCCGCAGATCGGTAAACCCATCGGATGCACGCGATTCGGCCATCGTCCGGGAGGAGGGCCAACGCGTGGCATAGGTAGCAGCACGTCAGACAGACAGCGCCTCAGTTCTTAACATGACTGACGCGCGGTGTTACGTACACCGTTGTCGGCTGCTATGTATGGACAGAGGCGTAGCTTGGGCAGAGGCGTAGCTTGGACAGAGGCGTAGCTTGGACAGAGGCGTAGCTTGGACAGAGGCGTAGCTTGGGCAGAGGCGTAGCTTGGGCAGAGGCGTAGCTTGGGCAGAGGCGTAGCTTGGGCTAGAGGCGTAGATTGGGCAGAGGCGTAGCTTGGGCAGAGGCGTAGATTCGGCACAGGCGTAGCTTGGGCAGAGGCGTAGATTCGGCACAGGCGTAGCTTGGGCAGAGGCGTAGCTTGGGCATAGGCGTAGCTTGGGCAGAGGCGTAGCTTGGGCAGAGGCGTAGCTTGGGCAGAGGCGTAGCTTGGGCAGAGGCGTAGCTTGGGCAGAGGCGTAGCTTGGGCAGAGGCGTAGATTCGGCACAGGCGTAGCTTGGGCAGAGGCGTAGCTTGGGCTAGAGGCGTAGATTCGGCAGAAGCGTAGATTCGGCACAGGCGTAGCTTGGGCAGAGGCGTAGCTTGGGCTAGAGGCGTAGATTGGGCAGAGGCGTAGATTCGGCACAGGCGTAGCTTGGGCAGAGGCGCGTGGGCTGTTTTAATAATTAATTAAATGATAGCCGGGAAATTTTGTACTTGCATTTACTACATGTCCTCATGTTTGTGTACTCACTATTGCCTATTAATTTCACGAAATGGCTGTTTAAATGCTCCACTACGACACGATAGGGAGTACACAAATACGAAGACTTTGGTAGCAAATACAATGTCTATAATTACGTAATATTACGTAATATATCCATAGCTCCTTTCGCTACGTACGAGGTTTGTTAATTTATATCACGTGAACTACTTACTCGTAGAGCCTTCTGCCGTGTGCGAATTTCCTTACATTATGTGTCGCGTTTATAGTGGCTCCTGTGTGCGGGTTTTGCTAACTGATATCGAATGTGCTATATCCACAGTACCGTCGGCTCTTCCCGACATAGCGACCACGACAAGGGCTGTTCAACCTTGCAAGAACGGTCACTAGCAGTGTAACCATGACGTCACCGACACTGCCAGATCCAATCAGCTTTCATCATCGCCTGTACGCCATAGCAACAGCACAGCCGTTCGCGTAGCAACGACGTAACAATAAACGTTCGAACGCAGTTGGTTAGCAAAGTTATGACGAGACTTTATATTGTAATTTTATACATATTTACAGAACAACAGCGTAAAACATACATTCAGGGATGTGTGATGCCACCGACGGCCATATATACACGCAGTTAGCACATCTTCCATGCCGAACATACGTGTAAAAAATTATCCAAAACAATAAAATGCTCTGTACCTTGATATTTCCATCCCACGACATATAATATCGACACGATAAAACAGTAAAATACGACCACGACACAACAAGCCGAGATAGACGGACTTTTCACGAAAAACACGGGAACGCATATATCGATAGAGTTAATATGTCTTATTTTGATGAAGCTCTTACGTGAGCTTAACAGGATCGTCAAAGCAGAGAACGGCAACGGAACATGACCCACAGATGCAGCCTTGCCCGCAACAAATACCCTGTCCTTCACAGAGAATAACATTCATAACAGCCACGATGCAACAAACTTCGTTGCCAACAATTATGCTATCCCCCCCCCTCTCCCTCCCACCCATCACCCCGAAAGCCTCACCTAAGACTGTGAGCATCTTCACCCTCCGCCGCCCACCTTTCCCCCGCTCATCTTACATACATTAGCATGTGTGGTGGGCACGAGAGCGCGGGCGTGAAGCAAGCTGTCCTTGTAAGCCACGCGAGGAGGGTGTCGCTTTCATCGACGTGCCAGCAAAGCTACCTCCACGCCCTTCCACGCGCACACACCTCCGTAATTTCCCCCTCCACGATTCCCCGTCATACGTCTAACGAGCGCTGAACGCATTATTGGCAATAAAACACTGAGTAAAAAAAGCTGAGTATCACATACTTGAGCACGCGTAATTATAAGCTAGGCCGGCCGCTCTCGACGCCGACTTGCGCCAAGAAAACAAGTGAACGCACACTCGGCGCGAGCCATCGGCCGGCAGTCGGCTAGGCCGAGAGTGCTATGCGATATATACCAATACCGCCGGGACAAGAGGCTCCGTCGATCGCAAGGGATCGCAAAAGATGAACAAATTTACAAGCTCCCGGTAAAAACGACACGGCTATCCCGATAAATGCTCTCCGCCTGGTGTGTGACGAAAGAGCAGCTGAGGAGTTGAGAAGCCAGCAGGGGGAGCTACGCACTACTGCAGACGCCACCAGGGGGAGTCGAGTCTGACGTAACGTCGGGCGTTGGCCATGTGAACGGCAGGGGGCGCTGGCTCGGCGTAGCTGTGACTGCGTGCTACGCGTGAGCGCACACCATACTCCGGGGCCGAGTCTCCGGCAGGTGGCGCCGGCTGAGCGTACAGCAGGGGGCGCCGGCTAGGCGTAGCTGTGATTGCGGGCGGTGCGCGAGCGCACACCGTACTTGGGGTGGTGCTGGCTGGCCGGGTACATGACGCGCATCGTCACGAGGCTCGAGCCGAGGCAGATCTTCACCGGTGCGCAGTCTCCGCCCGGCAGCCGCAGGAGCAGCGTCCCGACGGCCGCGATCCCGTCGTCCGTCGGCTCGAGCGCGACGGGCTGCGCCGCCAGGTGGCGCTCTTCGGCCGGCGGCAGCGTCTCGGGTGGCGCGCCGCCGCGCCGGTCCCGCTTGCGCTTTGGCGGCAGCGCGACGACGTAGTCGTCGTCGTCGGCGTCGTCGTCGACGAAGACGGTCGCGCGTCCGAACGGCCGGCTCGCCATGTGCTCCATCTGCATCGCGTGCATGTGTCGCGCGTGCCGCACGTCCGACGCCTGCTTCACCTTCCAGGCGAGCACGCACAGCGCCAGGAAGAGGAAGAACGCCGAGAAGAACACGGAGAAGAACACGAACAGGTCGATGTGCGGCTGGTCCTGCCGGAAGAACAGGTTTCCGTAGCTGCCGGCGGCGGCGCGGCCGCGCACGACGACGAAGAAGCGTGTGTTCTCGAGGCGGTGCACGCGGTAGGGCAGCGTCAGCACGAGCCGGTAGCGCACGTCGGTGACGAGCAGCACGAAGCGGCGGTAGGCGAGCGTCAGGAACGCGTGGTAGGGCCGCGCCGTGCGCTCGCGAAGCCAGAAGCGGGCCGCGGCGCGACGAGACTCGAGCGGCGCCCGCCGCGCGCCGCGACGGTAGCGCCCTCCTCCCCCCGCGTCGTCGCGCGTCGCCGCCTCCTCGTCGTACGGCAGCACGAGGTAGTCGCTGTTGAAGCCGACGTGCTGGATGCCCGTGACGTTGTCCGTGTGCACCTGAGCGAGAGATGGGGAGAGACAGACGTGTGAGCATTGAGAATGAGATCTACGCGAGCACGTTAACTCTGCAATTATCATGGTTATAATACGATGTGGATAATAGCTGACGTCATCCAGATCGTGTTCGTTTTACGGGGCAGTTCGGCCGTGTCAAAAAAGACCTTCGTTTTTACGGTGTATCTTCTTCCCCCTCCCATCTCGGATCATTCCCCATCTGCCTCTCTGGCATACGTAAACTGCCACGCGTCTACATGGACTGCCTGCAATCCAGACTGGAAACAGCAGCAACGAAGCCGCAACGCTGCCGGCTTAATTACCTACGATATACGCAGAAAATATAACGAAAATAAAATAAATAAAATAAAACATACACGAAAACTCCACCCTAGAGCAAACGCCCCCTTCTACATTACGCATGGGCAATGCAGATCAAATCCGAGTCACACTCACGATGACGAGTCCTGCTAGACATGCCCATACACACGCGCAATGTACAGCGGAGGGGGGATTCTCGCCACAAGGGGGGGGATGTACGACACGCCCCCGCGCGCCACCTCACCTCGAACAGGTGCTCCGTCTGCGCGAAGTAGACGTCGACGGCGCCGTCGGAGACGTCGATCGTTACGCGACTGTCGACGTTCTTGTAGCTCGGCTGTACGGCAAAGAACATCGTGCGTCCGGCTAGCAGAGGGTTGGGTCTGCGCGCGCTGCACTCTCCTGTAGTGACAGATAAATATGTACAGACAGGGGCGGGGTTACAGTACACGTAATGCAAGCATCAAACAATCATGAGTATATTAGCTAGCAGAGGTTGGCCTGCGCACTTCCTGTAGTGACAGATAAATATGTACAGACAGGGCGGGTTACAGTACACGTAATGCCAGCATCAACATCATGTATGTATATTAGTTAGTAGAGGTCGCGCTGCGCGCAGCTGCACTCTCCTGTAGTGACAGATAAATATGTTCAGACAGGGCAGGGTTACAGTACACGTAATGCAAGCATCAAACATCATGTATGTATATTAGCTAGCAGAGGGTTGGGCCTGCGCACTCTCCTGTAGTGACAGAGAAATATGTACAGACAGGGGCGGGGTTACAGTACACGTAATGCCAGCATCAAACATCATGTATGTATATTAGTTAGTAGAGGGCTGGGCCTGCGCGCGCTGCACTCTCCTGTAGTGACAGATAAATATTGTACAGACAGGGGCAGGGTTACAGTACACGTAAGCAAGCATCAAACATCGTGTATGTAATTAGACTACAGACGTTGGGCCTGCGCACTCTCCGCTAGTGACAGAGAAATATGTCCAGACAGAGGCGGGTACAGTACACGTAATGCCAGCATCAAACATCAGCTATGTACTATAGTTAGTAGAGGCGCTGGGCCGCGCGCGCTGCACTCTCCTGTAGTGACAGATAAATATGTACAGACAGGGGCAGGGTTACAGTACACGTAATGCAAGCATCAAACATCATGTATGTATATTAGCTAGCAGAGGGTTGGGCCTGCGCGCGCTGCACTCTCCTGTAGTGACAGATAAATATGTACAGACAGGGGCAGGGTTACAGTACACGTAATGCAAGCCATCAAACATCATGTAGCCTATATTAGCTAGCAGCAGGGTTGGCCTGCGCACTCTCCTGTAGTGACAGATAAAATTAGGTACCAGACAGGGGCGGTTACAGTACGACGTAATGCAAGCATGCCAAACATCATGTATGGATATTAGCTAGCAGAGGTTGGGCCTGCGCGCGCGCATGCAACTCTCCTGTGTGACAGAATAAATAACGTACAGACGGGGGTTCACAGCGCAAACCGTAATGCAAGCAAAACATCAGATATCTATATTAGCGAGCAGAGGGTTGGGGCCTGCGCGCGCTCACGCTCCTGGTAGTCGACGAGAAATATGGACATACAGCGCAGGGTGTAACAGCAAAACGTAATGCAAGCATCAAACATCATGTATGGGATATTAGCAGCATGAGGTTGGGCCCTGCGGCGTGCACTCTCCGTTTATTGCATAGAGCAAACACACCGCACGCCATGACAGTGCGACGGATGGCGGTATATAGGACACGTATTGCCGAGCAGAGAACACCCGCGTGATACGAATAAACATGCATAAAAAAACACTTATACGAACTTAAAACGAGTATCGTCGAGGATCCAGACTCAGTTAGAACACTTCCAACAAGTCAATGGTAGCGAGGACGGAGAAAGCCACTCCATGCAAAATAACGCTGCCGTCGCGTGAAAACGAATCGTAACAACGAACCCCACTGACGTATTTACCTTAATTTATCCGGAGGTATGTACTCTGGCTTAACCTTGCTTCGAAAGATCGAAGCAGTAGTGTGCTACTGTCGTATACGGCATCTGCTCGGAGCACGGCTTGCCTCGACGGGCTGGCGAGAAGCCGTCCTTACAGCGAGAAGCACTGCACAAAACACCGACACGAATACGTTATACACTGCCTTGCTCTAACACACATGATACACTGGAAGCCGGCACGTCACAACAAATCCACTTGACGCAGCAAATGCAACAACCTGCGCAGATGCAGAGATATTCCTCCGTAACTCCACACAGCGCAGGTAGGTCCTGCACGGAGAGAAGCCGCAGATGCATTGCAGTCCGTGCGCCAGTACTGACCCAATCCAGCTACCCCACCTGCGCGACACAAGGGAATTTATTAGAGAATTCTCTGCTCCCTCTCGGTCTCGGTCTCTATCTAGCTCGCTCTCCGCCCCTGTCTCCTTCTCCTCTATCGCCTCATATTAGCCAACGAGAACACACAAGGATTACAACAATAAGACGAGACAGGCGGCCTGACCACGCTTAACCTCGAGCGAACACAGTAACAAAACGCCAACACACGCCGCGCACCGCAGCGCCCCCCTCTCCGGACCTCTACCTGACAGATCGCAGGGAGCCCTCTGCTGGCACAGGTGGCGCTCTTTGTTTGGCAGTCGCCAGTGCCAGGCCGCCGTCGGCGTCGGCATGTGTCGTGGAGGGCACCTGGCCAGGCAGGCGGCCTGATGCGTGCCTGGTTGTGCCGGGCCGAAGACCGGGCAGCCAGCGCGTCGCACGCGGTCGCCTGTCCGTGTTGTTGCACTTCAGCAGACGGCCTCCTGCGGGTCCTTCCTTCACGCGCCTCGCACTGTAAGAGAGAGAGAGAAGAGAACGAGAGAGAAGGAATTAGTCATCGCAATCCGGAAGCACGCGCTGAGCCATCAAGCAGAGATGACTGAGAGAGACAAGAGAGAGACGACGAGAGAGGAGCGACGAGGAAGAGAGAGAGAGAGACAGAGAGAGAAGGAAGCGAGGAGAGACACGGAATTAGTCATCGCCAATCGCGGAAGCAGCGTGGAGCTACAGAGATGATCTGGAGAGAGAAAGAGAGAGAGAGAGAGAGAGAGAGAGAGAGAGAAGAGAGAGACAGAGAGAGAGAGAGAGCACGAGAGAGAGAGAGGAAAGAGAGACCGAGAGAGGAGAGGGAGAAAGAGAGAGCAGATGAGAAGAGAGAGAGAGACAGAGAGAGCAGAGAGAGAGAGGACAGGAGAGAGAGAGAGAGACGGTGATAGCGATGAAAGCGTTAGTCGACACGATTTTTACGATAGCAGTACAAATACCGTAAACAATAGCAATCTATACAAAATCGATAAGACGAGACAGGAGGCCTCGCTGTTCAGAAAAACAACGGTGAGAAGTAGCAGCGACCTCAAGCAGCGGACACCATGAATTTGTGTGCCAATGATTGCAATGATGCGCAAATGATCCCAAGATCTCTCAACGACAAAACACGCGCATATCTTCGCACGAGTCGACCCATGACTGCATGGCGCAGAACGAGCTTTTGGCGCCATGTGTGGCTGTGCTGTGCCGTGCAGTGTGCCCCGCGGGCGGGGCAAGTGCGCGGTGTGTAATATATGCGCGGCGCTAACAGAAGTGTCTCGTCGTGAGGCAACACACTCACAGCCACCAGGTCCAGGTCTCCGTTCAGCGTGAAGATTCTCAGCGAGTTGTTGTGATAGATGTCAGCACTGAGGCACTTGGACGCGTGGCCGTGGCAGAACGACGAGCAGGAGATGCACGTTCCGTTGTTCTTGGCGTCGCCCACGTAGTACCTCAGGCACTTCTCGCACTTGTCACCCTAAAGAAGTCATAACGAGAATGCGTAATGTAATGAGAACTCGTGTTTAAACAACTGCAGAAACAAATTTTACTCAAAAAAGAGAAAAAACTTTTCCTTCAATTTCAGTTTTTCATCGGCATACTGTTATTGCAGCATACTCGTCTATGCGTGCATGTGAGCCAGCACACATGCGTTAGCGTGCGAGTTGCGTCATACCTGTGTGTTGTTGTGACACTGTAGGCACGTGTCGAGCGCATTCACTCCCTTGCAGTTTGAATGCCCGTTGCAGTCGCACACGGAACTGCAGTTTGCGCCGACGAATCCGAAGAAACAGCGGCAGACGTTCGGCTTGACGCACGTCCCGTGGTCACACCCGTTGTCACACTGCGGTTGACACGTACCACCCCTGTAACACAAACAATGGTAGTCTCCAGCTGTCCCTCTCACTCTCTCACTTGCCCATATTTTAAAGCTGTACTCGTATGTACACAACAGGTATCATCTCAAATTTACACAAAACACGTGAAAAAAAATTATGTGAGACATGCCAGTGTGGTGACGAGTAATTAAAAAACACACACGATTTAACTGTCTAGAATTTGAGGAATATAGACTAATAAAAATGTGAAGTAACATGTGAATACAATTTGAGGTGACTAAATCTTGAGGATACACCATTTCTTCAGCTAGTATAAACCTTGTACACACACCGTTTCCCAAGGTAGTACCACACACCCTCTTTCCTCAGCTATTATAGACCTCGAGACGGCACCTACTTGTCGAGGGTGTAGCCATCCTTGCAGTTGCACGTGAAGCCGTCGGGCCGGTCGACGCACGTCTCGCGCTCCGTGTTGCACGTGTGGTGGTTGTTGACACACTCGTCCTCCGCCGGACACGAGAAGAACGTCCACTCGGCCTCCGACGTCACCGTGTCCGTCCAGTTGCGGCCGCCGTCTGCGGGCGAGAGACGACGACAATCGAGGTGTAGTGATAGAGAAACACACACGCACGCATGTACAGATGGAGGATGGGGTTATAGGACACGTATTGCGAGCAGAGAACACCCGCGTGATACCGAATAAACATGATAAAAACAACTTATACGAACTTAAACGAAGTATCGTGCGAGGATCCAGACTCAGTTGAGAAATCATTCCCGACAGCAATGGTAGCCGAGAAACCCACGTCCATGCAAAATAACGTGCGTTCGGTGAAAGAATCGTAACAACGACCCCCACTGACGTATTTACCTTAATTTATCCGGAGGTATTGTACTCTGCTTACCTTGCGTGAAAGGATCGAAGCAGTAGGTGCCTCTGTCGTATAGCATCTGCTTGTAGCACTGCTTGCCTTCGACGGGCTGGCCGAGGAAGCCATCCTTACAGCGAGAGCACTGCAAACACGACACGATACGTTCTCACTGCCTGCTCTCAACACACATGATACATGGGAAGGCGAGGCACTTCACAACAAACCACTTGACGCAGCAAATGCAACAACCTGCGGCAGATTGCTAGAGATATTCCTCCCGGTAACTCACACAGCGGCAGGTTTAGGTCCTGCACGGAGAGAAGCGCAGTATGCAATTTGCAGTCGTGCGCAGTACTGACCCAATCCCAGCTACCCCACCTGCTACGACAACAAGGAATTTATTAAGAGAATCTCTCTCCCCTCTCGGTCTCTGTCTCTATCTATCTCTCTCTCCTCCCCTGTCTCTTTCTCTCTATCTCTCAATAGCAACGAGAACAACACAATTGATTACAACAATAAGGACGAGACAGCGAGCGACCACGCTACCTCGAGCGAAACACAGTAACAAAACAGCAACACAACCGCGCGCAGCCGCAGCGCCCCCCCCTCTCCGCGACTCTACCTGGAACAGATAGCAGGAGCCCTTCTGCTTGTCGCAGGCCGGCGTCTCCGTGTTGTTGTGGCAGTCGCAGTGCAGGCCGCCGTCGGCGTCGCACGTGTCGTCGTGGAGGTTGCACTGGCAGGGCAGGCAGCTGAGCGTGCGGTTCGTGTCGGGCCGGAAGAACCCGGGCAGGCAGCGGTCGCAGCGGTCGCCGTCCGTGTTGTTGGCGCACTTCAGGCAGACGGCGTCCTGCCGCGGTCCCTCCTT